TGACACACAGACTCCCACACCAGCTTCTTCTTCCCAGCTGCTGCTTCTTCACATCCCAGCGTCTCCCCTTCACCACACAGGCTTCACATTTATATACAGTACAGCCCCTCCTCCTGATGTCCCGCCTTCCACTCCCCATAGGATGGAACTTTCCCTCCAAACCCATGACAGACAGGTAACATCAGTGCTGTATGTAACACGCTGGACATCTCTGCTCGACTCACTGTATTCAAAAAGGGTTACAGGTCCTGGTGGATGGCCTCCACTTTAGATTTTAAAAATGCTGCAAATTGGTCCGGTGAAAACCTAAGGGGAGGCCCGTCACTCAGACCAATTCCGGATAGGTCGCGTACTATACGGAATAATTCCGCCTGCTGGTTAGACACCTCGCTTATCCGGTTAGCGAAGTATGCTCGACTGGCAGCCTTTACCTTAGCCAGGTAAAGGTTAGTGGCGACCTTAACAGCTATCCAGTTATAATCCATTGGGTCCTTCCTCCATTTGCGCTCTAGCCGTCTTCTGACCCACTTCAACGCCTGGAGATCCTGGTTAAACCAGGGCGCCGGGCGGTCTCTGCGGCGGAGAGGGCGTTTAGGAGCGATCATGTCTACAGCCCTAACTGCGGCCGTGAACCAGCCATCAACCAGAGCCTCGACAGGAGTGCCAGCCAGGTCAGCTGTAACACCTCTCATGGCTTCCTGGAATCCAACCGGATCCAGTAGCCTTCGAGGGCGGACCATAACAATAGGTCTCTGCTCCCTGCAGGGGGGAAGAGCCATGTTGAGGGTGCATTTTATCAGGTGGTGATCCGACCATGACAAGGGTACCGACTCGAGGTCAGTCACCATCGGACCACTCTCACTCCCATTCGTGGAAAAAAACAGGTCAAGTGTGTGGCCACCCACGTGGGTGGGGCCGGTGACATGTTGGGACATGTTCAATAAAATGTGTGGGCCTTAAAGATGGCTGAGGCCGTTTTGTGGCTTTCCCCGCCCACCTGTCACTGACCCCCCCACCCCTTGTGCTCCCTTGACTTCTGTGTTCCTGTGGGTCATTCCATGTCTAGGATTCAGAATCTCCCCCTTCGTGGTAGATAATTGCCTGTAAATGTCCCCTTCTCATCAAGGGACTGAGGTGTTCGATGGCCCAACACTTCCAAGTCATTGGGATTCATCCTTCCCTAAAACTGTCCCCCCCCCCCTTGAGGGTTCTTCCCCCCTTCTCCCCCCCCCGTGGACTCCCTAAAAGGCTTGGTCTCACAGCTGCTCCTCTCCTTCCCCTTCCAGGCGAGCAGAAGGTCCTCCTGGTGGTGATGCACTTTATCCCAAAGGACAACCCAGGGCCCTTTGTGGACGCTCAGCACCGGGTGCCCCATCCAGCCGTGCACACCCGCTTCACCCTAAAGGACGGCTTTTACCCTTGCCAGATGAACGAGACGGCCGTGGCTGATGTGGCAGCTGCCCTCAAGGCCCTGGCTGAAGATCAGTGAGGGGGGGGGGCCCGGCTGTTCCCCATGTCCATTTCATGCCATGTTATGTTGTGAGAAAGGGCTGGGGGAGGGGGGTGTCAACACATGGAGCTTGCTGCAGGTTGTGTTAGGACCATCTGGTGATCACACCTTGGGAGCTGGGAGGGTGTGGGATGTGTGCACCTCCTAAGCCATGCAATGCCTTCAGCTGGGGAGACCATCGGTTGTGGTCGGGGAGATGTAACCCCTCCCTGGCCCTCTGAGCATGGGCAGACCTGCCTGCAACCTCAGGCTGACTGGGCAGAGATGCCCATTTGTGCTTCTGTGTGTGTCATGGGAGAGGAGTAAGTTTGTAGGGGGGGGGTTTCCTCTTGTGCTTTTACAGTCCCAGTGGGTGATTTAAAACAGGAGGAGAGGGGATATATTATAAATTAGATTAGGCATCCTTCAGTCTCGAGAGACGATGCTCTGAATGGAGGACTTGGAACAGCATCTAGGGTGGCTGAGGAGGCCAATTCGAGAGGGACACAATCCCTTCCACGCTGAAGACAAATACAATCTGTCCTGCCCAGCTGCCTGATTTTGCTGGGTTTGGGGCTGCCTCTTGGCCTCAGCCTGCTGGACAAGGGTCTCTTCATTATACAAAGCTCTGTTTTTATATTTTTTCATGGTGTTTGTGAAATCACACACGATTGCTCATTCTGTGCATCCACAAATGCCTTTAGAGCATGGATTCCTAACCTGGGCTTATGACCCCCAAGTGGATTACAAAGTGTTTCCTGGAGGCTTGGTGCAGTTCTTTTTAGTTGCAATAGTTTTTATATTTATTATATTAAATATAGTATACACAATACTGTTTTATTTTAATCCTCCTGGCCCCTCAGAGAGATCGTTTTATTCTGAAAAAAATAAAAATTAGGGCACGTTAGATTTAGTCAAATAGGAATCAACTTTTTATTACATTCAGGATAACAAAATAAAGGGAAAGGGCATTCACAACTAAGGGGGATTATGGAGTTGTGGTGACCTGCAAAGTTTGTGCAACATTTGCCTTTGTGCCTGAGAGTAACATGGCTACAGATGCAGGAAGTGCAAACTAGTGGCACTGCTAGAAAAAAAGCGAGAGAACTGACGCAGCGAGGAGCCACACTTGAAGCTACAAGGGAAGGTGATTTATACAGGGACAGAACTCTTGAGCAGCAGCAGCAGCAGCAGCAGCAGCAGCTGCCCTCCATGGAGGCCCCGGAGAGGGAAGAGAAGCGAGGAAGGAAAGGCGAGGAAGAGAATGCCAAGGAGAGAGCAAACATAGGGGAGGAAGCACCACGGAGAAGAGTCACAGCTAAGAGCAAAAGAAGGAGAAGAAAGCCTTCTCTTCACCGGCGGAACCGCAAAACCATTTCCAGGTTCTTCATGAGGAATCTGGCAGGCAGCAAGTTGCTGTTTAGTCGGTTAGTCGTGTCCGACTCTTCCCAGCTTACGAGAGAACCCCCTTGATGAACCCGAAACCTTCTGAATGGTTGCTAAAGTGGACGGACCTTCAGAGTTTTCTTGAAGTTCCTGACACGCAGGCTGAACGTTTGAAAGAACTCTCGGCCCCCGGGGCGTCTAATCTGCCTTTGCCACCGGCAAACCGAAGCCGCTCTTCTCCTCA